GGCGGGCGAAATGGAAACGGGTCAAGGCCGGCAACGCCAACTCCAAGACAGGAGAACCCTCCCGAAACCCCAAGATCGTGGTACCCATCCCAGTGCACGTCAGCAGGTTTGCCATCAGGAGTCAGCATCAGCAGCTGGAGCAAGCCCGACCCTGATCTCTTCCCTACGCTCAGAACCGCAGATTTTTTTTTTTATTTTTTTTTTGAGGGGAAAGTTTCCAAATCGGGGGTTTCAAAGCAACCCATCTGTGAAAAGAGGAGAGAAAAAACCAAAAGAAAAAAACTAAAGAAAAAAAACCCACAACCACAAAACACAACACCCCTAAAGCCAACAAACTCCAACAAGACACGAATCCCACGCCAGCGCGCGGCAAATTCTCCGCCACGAGCGAACTTTAAAGCCAAAACTTTCTGCTTACCGGGTCAAGCGAGGGTCTGCGAAGGCAAGAGGCTTGGAAACTGTTTTTGGTTCGGAGCGGGAGTATCAAACCCTGGAAGAGACACCCAGATATTTATTATCTCGCTGCCCCCAGTTTGTACGTAACCCAGGCTGCCTCGGCTGCGACGGGGACCGCAGCTGCGGTGATCGTGGCGGTGCCGGATCCACGTCCCCCCTCGCCCAGCAAAACCCACAGCACGCCTTTAGCCATCTTTTGGGTTTTGTTTCTTATCGGGGGGGCGAAAGGTAAAAAGACGAGAGAACAAAACCGAAAGAAAACTCGAGAGTTTCATTTCATGCCTTTTTTTTTTTTTTTTTCCCCAGGTTGTTTGATTTTATTTCTGACGGCTGAGTGGCAGGCGCTGGGGGACGATTTAATTTCTTTTTTAAATATATTTTTTTCGCCTGGCTTTCTGTCGATTTGGGTTGCTGTTTAAAAGAGAGGGGGGGGCGGGAAAAGAAAAAAAAAAGGCACGATCTTCTCTATTGTGTTTTATTTATTTCAATGTAGCTTATTTCCTTCTAAGTTATGAAATTTAAAAGCAAACTAAGTCTTGTGAATAAAAAC